GATATGCCAGCTATGCAGCTGACCAGAGCAGTAGTCAAAACATGGAGAATATTAAAGTGTGTGGCTATTGATTAGTGGTGTGTATCTAAAAACATACAGGACGTTCAGGGACATGTCCGGACATTAAGCCTCGGAAGATATTATGATTAAGATTACGGCTGAACATATCATGCTACTAACAATATTCATCCTGCCTGCAGACTCTTCAATCTAGTTGACCTTGGCCTAGATGCAGCCTGCAGAACTCATGACAATGAACTGAGCATTTAACAGTCTGAGCAAGACATCCTGGCTACACTAAACATTCCTATACAACAAGTATCTAATCAATATCTACCTGAGTAAGAAATTACCTAACATTATCTTACATATACAGTGGAAACTACTGTAATGTCTGCAACTTTATGTAAGTGGCCAGTTAGTCTGTTTTAGGTGCTGATGCTAATGTTTATATATAGAAAAAAAAGAGGGAAAGAATGTCAAGCACAGCAAAAAGAAATGACGTTGTTCATAGTGTAAATGTTATTTCAGGTGTGTACACAGTACGCGAGAAAACAACCTGATGATTCAGACTAAAATCTATCTATCTATCTGTCTATCTATCTATCTAATGTCTTGCATATTAATGAGTCAATTTGCATCTAAATGAAAAACGATTTTGGTTTCCCATATCTGTTATTTGTATATATATTTTTATAACACATCTTGTTTTAAATCTTTCAACATCACGGCTGATATAACCTACTGCTACAGCTGTCCATAAATGTTATAAACTTCAGTAATAAGCCTTACCTAGCCCATCCCTTCAAATTTCAAACTCCAGTCTCCAGCCGGCGATCCACTGCGAAAGCTCTATTTCAAAACGATACAAAATTTTAATTTTCCACATCTAAAATCTTGTTGACCTGACTTTTTCTGCACTTCAAAGCAACACAAAAAAAAGGAAGCTCGGCGCAGGAAGCGCTTCGCCCTACTGGCTTATAAAAACAGGGAACACCGAAGACACGGCGGAATTACACCTTCAGAATATTAAGTGTTCACTAGATCCGCGCAGAATGAGGCGATTTGCGTTCATTTATATTTGTCTTGCTGGGGATTTTTACATAGCCTTTGGTTTGACGGATGCACCGACTCTTGGACGTACAGATACTCCCAGACTTGTGAGCAAAGGTACCGTTACTTGTCACTTCTTTACTGTTATGAATTAGTTAAAATTATTCTGCAGAGCTTTAGATATGTTCATGTAACATCCATGTATCGAATCACTGTAGCTGTTTACAAAAATATGTTAGCGTTAATCCTGTCTTTAAATCCTGTTTAAGCCAGCTAAGGTATACAGATCAGTTAGAGAGATGCCCCAGCGTCTCTCTCCTAAGGAAATAACTATGTTTTGATGTTAATGCACCTATTTGACGTACAGCATCCTTCCAGATCTAAAATTGCCTATGATAATGCGATTTTTCCATTTCCCTCACATATAGACAGTGGTGGGTTTGAGTTCCAAGTCCATCAGAATCACACTGTGATCTTCTATGATGATAGCTCAGAGGAGATGTATGTTGGAGGGACTGATTTTGTGATCAAACTTGATGTGAATGACAGCAATAACATAAAGGTGGGTGTTTCTGCACAAGCAGATTTTGAGCCACTGTTTTTAATATTTTTATTTTGCTTATATTTACCACCTTTTATCAGCATGCCTTGTGGTCACCTGACATATTCCCAGTGCAGCTGCTACTATAACAGATGGTTCTTTCATTAAACAATGTGTCCATAACAATAAGAACAGCCACTAGCAGACATGGCCTGTCAAAGCTATTATCAAGCAGCTGACTAAGTGCTGGTGTTGAACACATGACGCAGACAGACTCTGGTGGTGACACATATACAGCCGGTGACAAATGAAAGGAAAAAGCTAAATAACTGAATAGTCTCTTGAACAATGACAATGAAATCCATAGAGCATGAGAGGTCACTGAATGGTTTGATGAGTATGACAGTGGTGTGAATTATACGCTGTGGCCTTTGCAGTCACCAGGTCTCAACCCAGTTGAACGTGTATGGGAGATTTTGGACCAATGTTTTAGACAGCGTCTCCACCGCCATCATCAAAACAGCACACGAGGGAGTATCATTTGGAAAAAATAGTGTTCATTCCTCCAGTAGAACTCCAGAGACTTATGCCAAGGTGCACTGAAGCTATGTTGGCTTTTCCATGAATTTGTCACCTGTCTGTACTAGAGATATAAGAGTTTCCATAATATGATATTACAGAAAATTCAGATAACACCATCAACAGTGAGATTTTTGTTTTTGTTAGTCCTCTCTTAAGAATTAACAAATAGTGAGTGTTGATTGTTTCCCAAGAAATTAGAGGAAAATGTGGTTCTGTGGTTCTGACCATAGGACAGAACTTCACTTCACTAATGGATATTAATCTGTGGCAGAAGCAGCTGTGAAGTGTTTGAATAAAAGACATTATCTTGCACGAAAAGGTCTGTGCCTAAGGAAGTAAACCTGAGTCTAAGATGGGTGTGAAATTCTTCTTTATCTATGAGCCAAATTTTTTCAAACATGTAATTTCCAAATATTTTCCAGCTGACCTGTAAGTGCAACATTCATTGGTTAGTGCTGCAGGTGCAAAGAACGTTTTAATGGTTTTCTTATAGTGTCTCATTTAAAACTAAAAGATTTTGATTTTTTTAAATTTATTTCCCCTGTAGAAATTTCCTCTGAAAACAATAGGACACCAACAGTACCAAGAGGTTAGTATGTAGAGAATGATTTATGTGATCAGAAGGGACTGTTAAATAAGTTTTCTAAATAATTAATTTTCAACATGAAACATAGAAGACGTTCTGTGTAAGGATGTGGCATTAACGGCCTCTGTGTCTTAGGGTGAAAATGTCATCACCGTGATTGAGAAGTTTCAGGACAGCCTGCTTGTCTGTGGAACGAATGGAAGAAAACCACAGTGTTGGAAACTGGTGAGTGATCACTGGATACACATGTTATCTCTGTTTGACATACTGCAGATTGTGTGGCTGGTTATTTTTGCTGACAGCTGCAGTGTAGAGCTGATCAAAGCACGTAGCTGTTTTATAATTTAGTCACGTGTCTGGTGGCTGATGCTGAATGCTGTTCTGCAGTTTTCATCAGTGAACAATCAGACAGATGAAATTACAGAGAGTTATGACGGAACAGGCATCTCTCCATTCACATACACCCAGAACTCCATTTCAATCGTAGTAGGTACGTACAGTACAGTACAACTCCTTACATAATTGTTGGCCATGTTTTTGAACGTTTAAAATGTGACTTAAACTGTAGACTTGTGTAAGTATTATATAACCATGTGTGATACCGGAGTTGGCAAGCTGGTTTCACAGAAATGTACTCAATAATTGAACCTCTCTGCTCATTTTCATGTGACGTCTCTTTGCTATGTTTAGAGGAGGACCTGTATGCAGCAACACCTTTGAATAGTGATGGGAGTTCATTACAGTTCAGAAGAAAAGCTGGCATCACAGGTGATGTCTGGATGCATCATAAGTGGGTCTCAGGTGGGTAAAACACTTAAGTCCTTTTATAATCTAGGGCAAGTACTACACTGTAAATTAGTACTGTGAGTTGACAGCATACAAAATTAATTGCAAAATAATGCCACAAAAAAGAAAATCAGTAAGAAGGAATGTTACTCATCTTGCATGAAAGTGATGCACATGATTAGTTACTTGTATTTACAGTGAGTCACAGTTCTGGCTGCTCCCACGTGCAAAGTAATTATCTTTGCTTTTGCTATCTCCTGCCAGGCTTTAGTGCTACATACTGTCTACTGACACAGCACTGTACTCTAAACATTTAACATGTCTTCCTCTTCTGACAGAGCCCACGTTCATCTCTGCGTCCTGGGTGAAACGAAAAGAAGACCGTGAAAATGAGAAGATTTACGTCTTTTTTCGTGAAAAGAACTCAGACCACAGCCCGGAGGCTGACCCCTGGATATCTAGGGTTGCCAGAGTTTGTAAGGTACGCTGGATACTGGAGTGCACTCTGCTACTTAGTCGTCTTTCCAGACTGCTAGAGTCACAAAATCCTCTTTAAGCTCCACTTCAGTAATCAAGCTAACAGCTATCCAAACCCTCTTCAAATAACATGGAAAGTAAACCCCAGTAGGTCAGAAGATATGGAATTTATGTTAAATATTGAAAATGTGATCATATTTGAGAAAAAAAAAGAGTTTATATTGCTTCATTATACCAATTGTAGATCACACTAGGGATGAGGCATACAACTAAATAAAGTTTTGCTGCAATATTAATACCAGGGCAAGAATAAGGCGAAAGTACTGTAATGTCTGAGAGAACAATTAATCATTTATGACTTAAATGTGTCATTAATAGGCTGCATTTAAATGCATTTTCATTATCATAGTGAGATAGAGTGGTGTTTTGTATCAGATATCATGGTTGGCTTAATGGCAGTCCTATCAAATAACCCTTAGCTGATGAATCTCAGCTTGAAAGAAAAGTGAAAGCATGTCTTCCTGATGTAATTTATTGTTATTATTTTGCAGGTAGATGAAGGTGGACCTAAAAGATTCCTCCAGAATATTTGGACATCTTTTCTCAAGGCCCGCCTTGTCTGTGGGTTTCCACATGAGTCTTTGTATTTCAACCATCTCCAAGATGTTTATGTGGTACATGATGACCACTGGCTTAACACCACAGTCTATGCCCTTTTCACAAGCAGCTGGTTAGACATGTTTACTTCCTTTATTATCAGTATCTAATCAACACAATTGACCTAAACAGAATGAATAACAAACGCCAACAGTAGTTGGTTTGTTACATAACCAGTTTTGTTTCATGATGCTCCTGAGGTTATCTATTAATGTACTATTACTTCTGTGTTGGTCCAGTTTTTAAAATTAGACCCATACACAAGCTTACTTCAGTTCATTCCCTACTACCTTTTAGTCTCACATTTGTATACACACACATTTTCATGATGACATTTAGTTTTCTTTAAGGGATCCTCTAGCCACTTAATTTTCTTTAAGGGATCTTCTAGCCACTTAGTATTCCACTTCTATAGACCTGGGGATTCTCAAAAGAGACTTAAAAAAATGATTAAAATTAAATGAGTAAAGGCTGAGATCTCCTGGCTCCTAGTATGGATCAGGCTCCAATAACACTGGATCCTACATTTGCCATAATGCTATAATTGCATTTCAATTGTATTTTATTTAACCATCACTGTCCAATAGGTGGCTCTTTGTAACTTAATGCCTATTGTTTGCAACATAGACTTACTGTTATTCATTTTAGTCTCCACACTCAAGCAGATAATATCATCAGGAGCTTCTCTGACTTGACGAAGCTTCTCCAGAGACACAGAAGATAGTATAAGAGCTTTCACTGGCTGTTCAGTTCCCCTGTGTCATTTCTTTAGAGATGTCCTGCTAACAAACAAACGAATGAGATCACGAGAGACGACCATAATTAAAATCATTGGTTGTGGCAATAACTAATGTACAAATTAAAGAATTTCATTTCATTTTCATTTCTAGGAACTCTACAGCAGTTTGCATCTATTCTGTAGAAATGATTGAAGAAATATTTGAGAACTCAGCTTTCAAAGGATTCAACAAAGAGATTCCTAAACCAAGGCCAGGAACTGTAAGGATTAGTTTTGCTCCTACGGTCATTTGCTGTGCTGTGACAGAATACTTCCTCTATACATTTTTTTTTTTTGTTCTCGTTTGAATTGAGTCACTTTTTTCCAGCCAGTCTCTTTCTTCTTACTATTTTGCTCCTACGGTCATTTGCTGTGCTGTGACAGAATACTTCCTCTATACATTTTTTTTTTTTGTTCTCGTTTGAATTGAGTCACTTTTTTCCAGCCAGTCTACTTCTTACTACTATATCTTGAGTTCAGCCCTGTTGTTGTGCAGTTAGAGGTCCCCAAATGTAGGTTTGAAGAACTTCCTCTCTCTGTAGTAAACAATTTACACACCCATAATACTTGTCCTTGCAGGAGGAGAGTTTGTTTTAGTGTTTTGTAAAGAAAGCCACCTCCTGCCTTCCAACTATATTTGTATCTGGTTTGTTTTTATACAAATCTGGATACCTGTGGTTTTTTTATGCACAAAGACATTAGAATTGCTTAACTTGAGAGTCCTACAAACATTCAGATTGTTTATGCTCCAGTTTCCAGCATTATGCAGACTACTTTTAAGAGAAAAATAACAACTTTGTGTCTATGTATTTTTCAGTGTGTAAAAAACAGCAAGAGCCTGCCGCTGTCCACACTGAGTGTGGTAAGGGACTATCCTGAACTGACTAGCTGGGTTCACTCCACGCGCTACACAGCACCGTTTTACATAAGCAGCAATAACTACATAAAAATAGCCGTGGACCGAGTCCAAGCTGCGGATAAGCAGATGTATAATATTCTGCTTCTAGCCACTGGTACGTTCTCATTCGACAAACTGATCAACTGTTATGAGTCTTATAAACAGCCTTCTGTACTTAGTTTTCTATTTGTGCCCTGTGTGTTTCCCTGTTGACTTGGCTTGTAATCATGCATTGTCTGTAATCTTTGATGCTAACAATGGGCTAAAAATATAGCCTATAACTCTCAAAATATCAACATAGCTGTTTGTCTGCTGTTACAATAGATTCTGGGAAGATCCATAAAATCGTTGAGGCTGGACCTAAACCTTTCATCATCTCTGAAACACAACTCTCCAGCAATTCAACCGTCCAGACCATGAAGCTTGATTCCAAAAAGGTACAGCTAATTTAAAATGCCCATTTATAATGGTCATACGTTGTGCATTACACTGTTGTTAGTAGTGTTCTTACTGAATTGTTTCACATTAGTGAAATTTAAGAGTCAGTTGGTGGAGACTCAAAACAGAGTTAAAAGGGGAATGAGTTACATACATCATGGGGCCAAAGGGTAATGTTGCTCTGAATCTGTTGTATTTGTCTTCTTTTGCTCAGAAAACGTTAGTCGTGGGTTTTTCAGACAAAATATCCATTGTGGATCTCCAGAGGTGTCAGGACTACAACAACTCCTGTGCAGAGTGTGTTCTAGCCCAGGACCCATACTGTGCCTGGACTAAATTTGGATGCACCCCGACTGTCCTGTAAGTGTGGACACTGTTTGACCAAGATGTTTTAATCCACAACTAGAGGCTCAAACATTTCACAATAAACAGATCATCAAGGCAATGTGAAAGTCACTCTTCTCTTGATGGAACATGTATATATGTTGTTTTTGGTCACAGGGGGGGCATTCAAAATGTCATGGATGGGCAAATAAGTGTGTGCTCTACATCAGAAGAAGGTACAGCAATGTTATAATTAACATTACACACGTGTTAAAGGCCTTCAAAATGTTGGTCACATCTATATTTTGTCTTCTTTTTATCCTTTTAGAACATAGACAAGTAAGCCGGACCAAACGGGAGACAACATTGAGAACAGTTCATTCGGTCGCCCTGGGTGTCCCTTTCTATTTGTCATGCCCTATAGACTCGTACCATGCTGCGTATACGTGGGAGCACGACGGTCAGAGCAGCCCCTGTCTACAGATGCAGTCTAACTGCCTGCACCTCATCCCTGCCATGTCAAATGAGAACTATGGGAACTACGAGTGTATTTCCAAAGAGAAAGACTACACAAAAGTGGTGACACAATATCAGCTGAAACAATATCAGCTTACAAAACCAATGATAAGGACAATAAATTATTCATCAGCTGTTATTCCACAGATAGGATGGCTCACACCTTTACTGGCTGTAGTAGTATTGGAGGTTTTCAGTTAGAGTGTGCACTAAAAACTATCTACTTCACAACACTTTTTTTGAAAAGTATTTCTCAGAACCATATATTTGAAAATGTAGCATCAACATTTTCAGTTCCTCTGCCATTTGCTATTCAGGTCAGGATGTAGGCAGCACTAAAGGAAATCCACTGTAGTATCAACAAATTTTGCATCTCGACAGTCAAACAGGAACATTCCCATTAAAGCCTTATTTATGCAACGGGCTGTGTTTAAATAGCAATAGCAACCTTATTTTTATAACCTATTTTTAAAAACAAGCATTACTACAAGTACTATAAGTCCTGTACATGTTGAGATTGGCTTGCAGACCTAGGAATTTTCTTTGTGTCAACAGCTGTGTCACAGTTGACGGAAGGGTGGAGGTGGCCAGGAACACTGACAACCCTCCCTGTTTTATTCAGGGAGGGTTGTCACTGTTCTTAATCATCTGCAGGAAGTGCAATAGCATGAAGGGAATAGTTTTGACCGCATCTACCCCAGTGGTCACCAATTGGTGGGCTCCATAATAATAATGCAGGTGACCACTGATCTACACAGTATTCACACTTCTGTCACTGAAGGTTTGATTATTTACTTTTCTTGACAGTTATTCATATCAAAGTAGGACTATGTAACTTTAGTTGAAGAGTAGCCATGTTGCCACAAGTGACAATTTTGAGGTAATAGTAAAGGCTAAAATATACATTTGTGCAGTAGCAGCAAAATTAGAAACAAGTTCGGAAATGTGGCTTTGTAAGGTGCATTGCAGAGAAACATCTGGCTAACGTTTGCTTGTATCAGCTTAATATTTCAAAACCAAAAGTTATGTATGAGTATAATTATTTGTTTGTAGGAAAACAAATGTGTTATTTCTTCTATCAAAAGTGACAAGGTTTTGCTTTAAACAAGAAATGTTTACAGCTACTAAGCTACATATATTTATTATATAAATTGTATTTTGGTGTGATGTTAACACTTATTTTATTGCTAAATCATAGTTTCATACTGAACTTTGTATATGTGTAAGATAGAATGTATTTGTTCTATATATATGTTTATAATGATTATGTGAAAATATTAGAATGTATGTGAATATTACAGATTTTTTAAATTAATAAAATAATATAAAGATAATGCATAACATTGTTCATGAGGAGTCATACCTCTATTAGAGCTGGTCACAAGTAAGTCATCCTTAGTAGGTCATGCCTCCATCAGACATGCTGTCAGTAAACCACATGCAGTCTGATCTGACAACACTCTAAGGACTTTTACCTTAATCTGTCTTATTCCTGGATCTAAAGTCTTAACACTCCTAATGAAGACTAAGTGAAAGATCCTTTAGGCCATCACTCCAGAAATACTGCACTTTAGTCAGATTTGCTTTCAGATTTGTGAAGCTCCACGAGAATCTCATCTTATTTATACTGTTTATGTGAACACCAGAATTACACAACAACACATACTGAACTCCTCCAGCACCAGCTATGTGGACCACATAACTTACAAGTTTGCAACCACACCCTGTTGATGGAGTGTTGGGTTGTGTGGATTGCTTGTCTAAGTCTGTCAGACCAACTTCAGGACCAACTAATGACTAACATGCTGTGTAAAATATTCCTTCCACCCACTGGTTCCACCTCACCGGGGTCCACCAACACCACACATTTTGTCAGCTGTTTTCATGTGAGGCTGCATCACAGACTGTGGAGAAAGGCATGTAATGTTGATCATGAAGCCGGAGCTGCCACAACACTTTATCTAACATCTGGGTGCCTGCCTCTAACATTCTTATCTAGCTGCAGCGAAGGTTATTCATAGCTCAGGTGGAGATATAAAACATCTGTGGTTCTGTCAAGTTATTTTATTAGTCAGCCTGTTTAATTACATGTAGGACCACATTGTTGAAACTATGTAGGATAAACACAGCCTTTGGCTCCATGTTATATTCATGGCATCACTGACAGGATTTGGAGAAGGCCTACTTCAATAAAATATTTTCAGGAGCCATCTCTTATCTGTCATCAACTCTGAGTCTACATCTGCAACCCTCCAGTCTAAACTGGGTGATATAGTGACCGTGAGCTTCTGTTCTGACTGAAAATAAACCTTGACTCTCAGAGGACTTTAACTTCATGGCTCCAGGTTTTCCTGTTGTGTATTTATGCCAAAACGATCTGCTGGAGGGAAGCCAAAATAAATGAAATCAGGGAAACAAATAGTTCTTCTAAGCAAAAGAAAAAGAATTGTCACACTCTGTGCATTATAAACAAACTGCACTTGAAATAGTGACATATTATTCAGTGTACAACACAAACAAATAACACTACCTAAAATATGGATGCGTAATTTACTTAGTTTGTTGGACATAAAAAATTGTGTAGATTCTGTCTGTGATTGCAGTTTTTCAACAGCAAAAGTCACTGTTATTTACCAGGATGGACATGTTTACAGCCACAACCCTGACAAGTCAGGAACCTGACCCCAGTTCTTCAGCCTGAACAAATCCATCATCACTTACAGCACTCAGTAAACCATGCATCATGTGCAGCCTGATCTGGATGCAAAAAAAAAAAACACTGTAAGGATTTGAAGCTTTTTCAGATCTCTCAATACTCCTACAGTAGTGCATGTATAAAAGTTTGTTAGACTTTTTGTAGCCAGCTCTGAAAGGTTTGTTAAGCTTAAGATGTTTATATAGCTTCTTTGTGTAGTTGCAGTCTTTTGACAAAAGAGGTCAGTGTCATTTAACAGCACCAACGGGTTTACAACCCCCGACTTGAACTTTAAAATGCTTGCTAGTTAAGTTCAGTATGGACACTGAAATGTTTTTGTTTGCTCTAATCATTCCTCTTGTTCATCATGGCCTATTGGCTCACAGAAATGTCACTGGAATGTTTTCCACACATAATAAAGACTGTTGATTTGGCTGCCTGTCATTTACAATGGAAGTACATGAAGCATGGATGGATTCTGAGATAAAATGGGCACAGACATGTAAAAGGCTCCCACCCCTTCTACAATGGAACATGATGACAAACAACACAACAGTTTTGAATCTTTGGGGTCATTTTGCATCTCTTTTTTGCCATTTTGCATATTTATTTTGTCTCTCTGTAGTTATTTTTGATCATTTTCAAGTTATTTGAATTATTTTCAAACAAACAATTTTAACACTCAGTCACCCCCTAAGCCCTTGTGCCCTTGTCCAGTAGACCAATTCAACTGTGAATAATATTGCTGCCCTCAAACACCCCTTCGAAGACTGGGCTTAAAGGGAGGAACACGTGAAAATATGGGACTAAAACATTGTTAAAAGCAGGAGTCTGAGTGTTTAGATTCATGAAGTACTCTCTTACTAATTTAATGGTGTATTTTGCACATTCATTTTGCATTCTCATGGCCAAGTGATTTGTATGACTAAAAGACTGAGTTTATTCTGTAGTACACCAGACGATGGCAGTGTTTGAGTAGGAAACAAGTCTCCACTAACAGGACTGCTATCCATAGCCTATGGCTAGAAACATTTGAGGAATCAACACTTGATCGACACTTTTGATGTAAAAATGATGATATGCTTAAAGTCACAGGCAAATGTATGCATTCAAAATAAGTGAAGTAGTCACAAAAACATACATGTAGGCCTACCAACAGCTGTTGCAGTGAAATGCCATTAAAATGATATGGATTTGATATGGAAGGTTTGGGGTATTATATCTTATTGGACTTGAATACAGCTTCTTCTCAGCCTTCATGTTTGTTGTTTACTGTGAAATACCAATTGGAAATAAAGCAGCATTCTTACATACTGTGTCTGTCGCCACGGACTTAACTTAAAATCAGTCAGTGAGTTCAGAAACTGTTTGCTGAGTCCTTTAATTAAAGACAATAAACTGTAGCCAAATTGAATGAGGTCAAAGATTAGACTTGTGTTGGACTAATAAATTAAACATGGGGTGCTAAATAATGGATTTTCTTTGAGGGTGGAAGACCCGGAGCTTCTGTATCTTTAATAGTGAGGATAGAGATGGGAGAGGCTGCGCGTCCACGGTTCATTTCTCGCTCCGCGGCGACGGGGACGCGCAGTGGATACCGCTCCTGTTGGAGGGGAAAAAAGCGCCGTCGGTCTGTAACAGCGATTCACTGGGAAAAATGTCCCCTTCACCGGCCTTCATCGACGCTGTCCAGGTCTGCAAAGGTCACGTAAAAGGATCCACAGCATATGACGACTCCAGTTTTTTCGACCATTAAACTTATTTCAGGGGATTATAAACTCCGACAGTGACTAATAAGACACAGGAACTGAAGTTAACATTGAAGAGGTAAGACGATTCAGTAGCTAATGAGGTGTTTATACGAAACGATTAAATGAAATACAGACTTTGAGCAGTATCCATATCTAAGGTAAGGTGATAGAAATCACTTTGTAGGTCAACTGCAACTCCTGAATCACAAGGTCGTTTTTGCACAAGTGCCAAAAGCTGCAGTGCTCTGCAAAGTGATGATGGAGGTAGGCTATGGAGATTGACCTCTTGTTGAAATCTGTAGTGGTTAAAAATAAATCAGATTCCAGAAGAACTATGCCATAGAACAGTATGTACTTCATATATAGACATTATTTGTACTTATTTTATTATCTGTACTTATTTGAGCTGAGTGGCTCTGGTTCATTAAGTACATGTGAGTTTGGCATGTGATTTGGCAAACAGGAACTAGATGCTTCCTGTTTTCGAAGTCCATCTCAGGGTGTTGTTCTCTTTCGAAACTAGAGACAGGAAGTTAGGTTCAGAAATAGACGCAACAGTAGCTAGTGGCTGAGCTGATAAAATAGTGAGTTGGAGAGGAGAGAGAAGGAGGATCATGCTACCGTGAGCAGTGTACCACCAGCCCGGCCTCGGAGGGCTGGTGGGAGACGGCGACTGACTGGGGCTGACTGACTCGGGACTGGCAACCAATGACCTGACTGACTGGTGTTCTGACACCCTTCTTAGGCTTTACTCATTCCATTGCAAGAGGGGAGTCTCTGTTCCCTGATCTCTGTTCTCTGTTTCCTAACTACAAGATTATCTGTTTGAATGCTACTCTACTTAGAATAATTGTAATATTAAATGATCCTTTAAATTGTAATGGTTTGTCTGAATTTATTCAGTTGGTATTTCACTCTTGCCACGACAAAGTGCAGAGTTTTTAATGAAGGTTTCAGCACCACAACCAGCGCCACTTTGTCCGCATCGGATGGAGAACCTCGCTCAGAACAGGACAAATGACCTGACTCTGAAATTATATGTCACACAGCATGTGCTTTATGTCCAGAAGTCCTGATATAATCCGTGTTGTTTTTGTGGTGTGATTAGAGCAAAACAAACCGTGAAAAATGAAACTTTGCATGCAATGCTTTCAATCGGGCCGTATGCCCGCGGCAGCAATTGTGGTATTCTGCTGTTTTTTTAGTTTGTGGTGCATATTTGAGTTGCGTTAACGAGCTCTGGTGGTCTTTTAAAAAGGATCATCTACTCAGATACACGTATATACGAGCTAAAAGCTATCAGTACACTTCCTCTGGGGTAATAGACATAATGGATGTATTAAACATTTGATAACATTTTTTTTATTTGGCTAATGTCTGGTAATTGACACTTGCAGGTGCAGAAAATGGCGAGAAGGCTCCTGCAGCTCTTTGCCTTGTTGACTATAGTGACTGGCATTGTGCAGTGCTGCCCAGAGCTCTGCAGCTGTCAGGATAAATTTGCCCACCAGTTTGCAGACTGTGCTTACAAAGACCTGCTGGTGGTTCCTGTGGGGCTCCCCTCCAATGTCACCACCGTGAGCCTTTCTGCCAATAAGATCAAAATACTGAAAAGCAAAAGCTTCATTAATATCACTCAGGTCTCCTCTCTTTGGCTGTCCCACAACGAGATAGTCACAATCGAGAGGGACACACTGGCCCCCTTGATTCAGCTCCGCAACCTGGACATCAGTCACAACAAAATTGTACACTTTCCATGGGAGGAGCTGCACAACCTCACCGCCCTGCAGCTTCTGAAAATGAACAACAACGAGATGGTGAATCTTCCAAAGGATGCGTTTTCCACACTAAAAGACTTGAGGTCGTTGCGCATCAACAACAACAGGTTTACCACAGTTGTGCAGGATACTTTCAGTGCGCTCTCCTCTATGTCCCACCTTCAGATTTTTAGCAACCCCTTCAAATGCTCCTGCAGCCTGGAGTGGCTGAGAGACTGGATCGCAAAAACTAAGATTTCTGTCCCCGAGCAAAAGTCAATTTTATGTGAGGCCCCTGAACACCTGAATGGTACAATGGTTATAAATATGCCTAAACTGGACTGCAGAGCCCCCGCTGTCTCTATAACCTACCAGCCTAACACTGAGAACAAAGAGCTCTATGAGGGTTTAATGGTCATCTTAGATTGTGAGACAAAGGGGAGCCCTAAACCACAAGTCAGCTGGGAGGTGATTGCAGGAAATCAGAATTATCTGTTCCCCTTGCCCTCCACCGGGGAGCTAAATGATGTGCCAATTAATGACAAAACGACCAACAATCGATTCCTCGTCTTTAGAAACGGCACTCTCATCATTCCTCATATGAGTAAAAAGGAAGATGGAAATTATAGCTGTTCTGCTGTGAATGAATTAGGCAAAGCAGAGAGCAGTGTTAGGGTGGCATTGACTGGGACCCCAAAACATCCTGCCAAATCAGTGCTCGATTCCACACTAGATAAAATCCGCCCGTCTGTTAAAAAGCCTGCAGAGCCGAAGACCTCCAAAAACAACGTGATCAACTGGGATAAGCCTGAAGACAAAACAAAGCTTAGCCCCGAAGTGTCCTCAGACAAAAATGATGGCACAGAGCAGGCTGCTGACGTTTCAAAGGACACCACTTCTGCGAGCAAGTGCGGCGTGAGAGACGGCAGTGAGTACATCTCCAACCATGCTTTCAACATGAGCCTGGATGACTTGAAGCAGTACACGTTTGATTTTGGTGTAATTGCACTAGAAGTGTCGGAGACGGAGGCCAAGGTGCAGCTGAATCCGCTGCAGCTTGCAAACAGCAAATCTAACCTCCATCTCAGCCAAAATGAAAACCAAGAAATGGTGGTTAAGGAGCCTGTAGGTCTGTCCCAGTCCTCGTCCAGTAAAGCCACCCTGGACAGGCTCTACCTTTGTGTAAATACAGGAAATGGACACTCCATTGTTCAGTGGTCTCATATAGAGGAGGGGGTTAATTCCTACCGCTTCCATGGTTTACAGCCTGGCACCAATTACACACTTTGTCTCACCTATGGGGGGAAGGACTGCCAAGTCCAAGTAGTCTTCACAACTAGGAAGAAGATCCCCTCCCTTCTTATCATCGTGATTGTCAGTATTTTCCTCCTCGGTCTGGCCACGGTTCCTTTACTGGCGGCCACCTGCTGCCATTTGTTATACAAGTACCAAGGGAAGACCTACAAGTTGATCATGAAGGCTCAGAATCCGGATCAGATGGAGAAACAAATGGCTGGGGATTTTGATCCCAGGGCGTCTTTTGTGGGGTCAGAGAAAAACTTCAATTCCAGTGAGTTGGGCGAGGGAGAGGCAGAGGCCGAGGGAGAGGAAGGAGACGGGGAAGGAGAGGCTGAGGGGAGCGTGGCGACAGAGTCCATCCCCGGCTCCTCATCCAAAACCAACCAGGAGGAGTTTGAAGTGGGCTCGGAGTACAGTGACAGGTTACCGCTGGGAGCAGAGGCAGTCAACATCTCGGAGGAGATCAACGGCAACTACAAGCAGCCAAGCCGCTGAGCTCCACTCTGCCTGCGACTACATTGTAAAATATTTTACGTTTAAGTAGCCTACATTCAAGCAACAAACTCGATCACCATTACTCCACGTGAAAAGAGATGACGCCCGAGATAAGGTGGATTTTATTTTACATTATTTAACCTCAGAAAGCACTCTGCCAGTAACTGAGACAGTGAATTGATTCGTGTGATATTTGTAGTCTGCTGTAAGGTTGAAATAAATAAGCACAGATTTATACAAATTTTCAGACCTCAGACCTGAAAGCAAGCAACAACGTTTCCTTTGCGCAGGACAGACACAGTCGGGTATGGGCGCAGGTTGTGCAACAGTGAGGCGCAGACAGTTATACAGCCTATTATAAAAGGCAAAAAAGATATTAAAAAGGAAACCATCGTTTTGAGAGCACAGAAACAACAAAGCAAAAAAAAGTGCCATATATTTTAGCCATTTTATTAAGCACAGTGACATCAGGGAACAGTCGCTCTATCTAAGTTGTGTGCGTCTGTGCCACGGTGTGGATGAGCCTTCTCTAAAAGAAACATTCACACCAGCCAATATTTTCTCAGGTGTCGACATTCCGGCTCCACTTGATTCCGTCCACGGAACTGTAGTCGCAGATTGGGATGGTGATATTGGATGAAATGAAATTAGACGCAGATATTTGGTTCCGGTGTTACTGCGCCTGGCAGCGCACAGGAGCGCCCTGCCCGCTGTCCCGTGACTCCAACAGGGAGACTTCACTTTTAGCTGTGTCGTGCTTGACGGGTTATTTACCAATAAAATATTACACGCTGTGGAAGGCTTTAAAAATGTGCGACTTTAACCTCTTACTCAACGGGTGCTTGCTATATTACTCTCGCTTTTTACAATGAAATTGTCCATGGCATGTCACACGTATTTCCTTGTGTGGTTCTTTAGTGTAGTCTATAGGACTGTAGATGTTACTGTCAGCCTGTGATGTAAAGCCATGTGAACTGAAATTATTCTTTTTTTTTTTTTACAATGAAGCCACAACAGAAAAGGCGTCTGTGCGCGTCTGAAGGCTTCACCGTCTCGTTATTTGATGCATAGTAAAGTTTTGTGAACTATGTTGTACAACGAAACAAGAAACCTCGTGACATTTTAAGATTTTTGATATAATTTTATGTAAGTGGAATTAATAAAACACATGAAACTATACCTTTCCCGATTTGTCATTGACCTTGCGAACACCTTATGAGAGGTTTCTGTATCAGCTAATATACAATTTGATACCAAGATTTTAAATTTGCAATCGATTCAGGTTTATACAAGTGTAATACTTTTAGGACTTTCCCCATTTCCTTCTTTTTCGTTTCTTCTTTGTATTTTTTGCTACATTTTTATGGGAGCGTCTGTCATACTTAAAAACAAAGCTGCAATTTGTTTTCTTTTTTGTTTCAGTCCACTTGAGTTCATTTAGCTCAGCACCGAAGGAATGAAGGAAGGAAGGAAGGAAGGAAGAAA